CTATTGCACACTATCAACACAAGATCACTAATTTTATCATCTAATTCTTTCTACTTTAAATAGATTTCAAACACTCTAAGGTTCCTTGAAAAGATTTCAAACACTCCAAGGGATTTTTCACATGGATGATTCCTTCTTCCACGATCTTGCACGAAAACCCCCAATTCAACAAATGATTTTGGAGGAGAAACCCGATGGTTTTTCTCGGATAAAGACCCCTACAAATCTCAACCCATACCAATTGTAAATTCACAATTCTTTGTTTAGATGGAACCCCGACGAAACATCATCACAATGTAATGTTGGTGTGTATGCATAGATTGGAAGGTAAAAGAAGAAGAAAAAATGTAGGCTAATTTTATGGTATTATCAAGTTGGAATGATGTATGAATGATATATTTATGGTTGAACTCTTTTTAGGTAAAACATGGTAGTTTCTGAATGAAAAAATAATGAAAAAATGACCCACAAAACATTATGTATCGACCTCAAAATGTTATGTGTCGACACATGCAAAACAATATCTTTTTTCTTTAGAAATGCAGTACATGTATCGACCTGAAAATCGTATGTGTCGACACATGTGCCTGTGTTTTAAAGCAGAAATGCTGAAAGCTTTAATATTGCAGTACATGTGTCGACCTTAAAGAGTTATGTGTCGACACATACTGAAGCTTTTAAGAAAATGCATAAATGTAGAATTTACGTGTCGAAACATAGAAATTTTAGGTCGACACATAAGTGCTGATTTTGTGTAAAAACTGATTTTTCATGATTGGGATCAATTTTAAAGTTGTTTTAAATGATTCCTAAGACATCTAATGCAAAGCGTGTCATAAGACATAAGGATACCGTCCACCATTCTGAAATGCTAGCTTTCTGAGTTTTGACATCATGCAAAACATCTAATAGTGAAGTTGCACTCATACTTTCATGACTCCTTAGGAAACCTTCTGTTATTAAGTAATGCCCTTCAGTCTAAAGAAGGCAGAGGAAACATACCAATGAGCAATGATCACGTTATTTCATGACATGATCCACAAAGAAGTTGAGGTATACATGGATGATATGATTGTAAAATCCCATATGAAGGAGGATCACATTATTAACTTGCAAATATTATTTGGACGTCTACGAAAATTCAGACTAAGGTTGAACCCAAAAAAATGTACATTTCGTGTCAAGTCAGGAAAACTATTGAATTTTATGGTAAGTTAATGAGGTATTGAGGTGCATCTCGACAAGGTCAAGGACATAGAAGAAATGTAAGATCCAAGAATAGGGAAATAGGTTCATGGTTTCTTAGGGCGGTTGAACTGCATATCAAGGTTCATATCGCACTTGACTTCTACGTGCGAGCTTATATTTAAATTACTTCGAAAAGATCAATCAGTGGAGTGGAATGACGACTGTCGGACAAACTTCGAAATGATAAAGCAATATTTACAAGATCCACCAATCCTGATGCCACCAGTTCATGGAAGACCACTTATCATGTACTTAATAGTGCTTGAAGGATCTATGGGTTGTGTATTTGGGAAACACGACGAAACAGGTAGGAAAGACCATGCAATCTACTACCTAAGCAAGAATTTTCTTGATTGTGAAACTCGATACTCACTCCTAGAGAAGACTTTTTGTGCTTTGGCTTGGGCTACTTAACATCTGAGACAATACATGTTAACCCATACCACATGGTTAATAGCAAGAATGGATCCCTTGAAGTATGTGTTTGAAAAACCTGCTCTTACAAGAAGAATTGCTAGATGACAGATGTTGTTATCCGAGTACGACATCCAATATGTAACTCAAAAGTCCATTAAAGGTACTGTGCTAGATGATCACCTAGCTCATTAACCATTTCCAGAATATCAACAAATGAAGTTCGACTTTTTAGACGAAGATGTCATGGTTATAGGCGACTATGAAATACGAGGACCGGATGAAGGACCTGAACAAGGGGCACGATGGACACTCATGTTTGACGGTGCTTCAAATGCACTAGGACATGGTATTGAGGCAGTATTTAATTTTCCAAAGAACTTTCATAAACCTTATACTTTAAGGTTATGTTTTGTCTGTACCAACAATGTTGATGAATACAAAGCTTGTATCTTGGGTCTAGAATTGATCTAAGGATTAAACACCTCGAAGTATATGGAGACTCAGCCTTGGTCATATACCAAGTCAACGGTGCATGGGACACTCAACATCCCAAATTAATTCCATACTGGGATTATGTTTTGAAGTTAGCTATAGAGTTCACTGAGATTACTTTCACTCATATTCCGCGAGAAGAAAATCAAATAACAGACTCCTTGGTAACTTTATCAGCCATGTTCAAGGTAACTTAGCCAAATCACGAACTGCACATCACGATCAGACATTTTGAAGAGCCTGCACATTGTCTTTCCATTGAAGAAGGACCAGATAACAAACCTTGGTTCAATGACATCAAGAGGTATTTGGAGAAACAAGAATATCCAAAAAACGCCTCCATAATTGACAAGCAAACTCTATGAAAGCTAGCTGCGAAGTTCTTCTTAAATGGGGATGTGTTGTACAAAAGAAACTATGATATGGTGTTACTCAGGTGTATGGAGAAACATGAAGCAAATACGCTTATGATAGATATACACGAAGGAACCTCCGTGACTCATACAAATGGACATGCTATGGCTATAAAAATCTTAATAACATGTTATTATTGGTTGACGATGGAAGCTGACTGCAACAATTATACGAAGACTGTCACAAATTCCAAATCTATGTTGACAAAATACACGTGCTACCAACTCCTCTGAATATCCTGAGTTCACCTTGTCCATTCTCGATGTAGGGAATTGATTTGATATGAATGATCGAACTGAAGGCTTATAATGGACACTAATTCATACTAGTCACCATGGATTATTTCACCAAATGGGTAGAAGCTGCATCTTATGCAAATGTGACAAGACAAGTGGTTACTTGATTTATCAAACAGAACATCATATGCAGATATAGGGTTCCTAGCAGAATTATTATAGACAATGGGTCCAACTTGAACAATAAAATTATGAAGGAGTTATGTGATGATTTCAAGATTGAACATCATAACTCATCACCTTATCGACCCAAGGTGAACGGGTTTGTTGAAGCGGCATATATGAATATCAATAAAATCATTCAAAAAATGGTGAAGACGTATAAAGATTGGCACGAAATTCTCCCCTTTGCTCTGCGTGGCTATCGTACCTCAGTGTGTACTTCAAAAGGTGCAACTCATTTCTCTCTTGGTTACGACATGGAGGTGAAACAACTGGCTGAACAAATCACCGAGATGAAATCAATGAAGTCTCCATCGAACATTTTTTATCCCACGGGAAGGGAAAGGTAAACATTGAGTAAACCTGAGAAGGGTGAAATCACGATCAAACGACCGAGAGATCGGGTAAGGGAGTCTGTTACGTGAGGGGAAGGTATTAGCACCCTACATGCCCGTAGTAATCTACGGTATCCAGTCTTGTTATTCTAATCTAATGGGTGTGGTCAAATCTAATGCTTAAGAACTAAAAGAAAATTCAAAGAGGGAATGCATGCAAAAGAAAAGAGAAAATAATGTAGGGAAAATAAAGTTGTGCTTGCTCGGGCTCTACCTCAATGCCTACGTATCCTTTTTGAGGAATCAGAGTTATCGTAGTTCGACTCAAAAGTTTCTATTCTTTTGTATTTTTTAATGAACAATATTAATTTTTCCTTTTGCCACATCTCGACCTTTGGAGACTCACGCGTCAACACAAAAGTTAACTAACATGCTATTTTGAAAACATTTGAAAGAAAGGGGGCCGAAGGTGCAAAAGAGTTTGCATTGGTTAATATTTTTTTACCTTGAAGAAGGAGTTGAAAATTGTTAGGTGCTTTATGATTTGCCAAGAAAAAGAGTTTAGTCTTAATGCAAGGACGCAACAAAAATAAAAACATCTAAGGGAGACTACACTAAATCTATCCCTAATGTTATCATACAATGATTGATTCTAAGGTTAAGTTTTGAAAGGGAAATCTCTACCCTATGTTATCATGCATGGATACCTATCCTAATGTCTAGCTCGAAAACTACTCTAATCGAGCGATCATAAGGGAAGCATGGTATAGAAAACAAATAAGAAAATAAGTGCTTTGGAAAAAGCACACAAACATGAGTAGCACACATTGACTCAAAGGGATGAGGGAAACAAGAGAAATGCTTTAGCTAAGGGGAGCAGATCACCCAAAGCAAACAAGTGGGAGACATATGGAATAAAAAAGAAAAGAAATGCTTTAGCTAAGGGGAGCGGATCCCCCGAAGCAAACATGCGGGTAGCGAAGTATCAACAATGGCCATTGAGAACTCCTGACAAAGTGTGGGGGTTGGTTGTGAACCCTTCTCCATATGACCGACTCGATACACATGATCTGCACGACTCTGAAGTATCGACGTACAACACGCGCTAAGGATGAAACAGACTAGAATGCTTGGGGGTTGCCTACTAACCCTCTCCGCTTATCTCCTTTTAAGGACTTATCATCTGTAATATAATGTGGGCAAACATGTAAACACACGTGCAAAATACCTACTTCAAAGGTAAGATTTTAAACAAACATAAATAACGTACAGAAAGCAATGCCTGCTACATGACTTTAAATAGAGACTTCGAGCGCACGCTCTTTATTTCCTACTTCCCATGATATCTATAAAGCCGTAAAGTTCCTACTTCTCATGATATCTAAAAAACAATAAAGTACTGAAAGGAGATAAACAAGAGAAAATACCAAACATATATCAATCCGTAGCAAAGCATATCAAAACAAAGAAACCAGACGATCTTTGCGAAAGTTTCACCAATCAAAGAAAAGAGTCAAAAATCAAATGCTCGGAATAAATGTCGAAGCATCATCGATGTGAAAATAAATCACAAGCGGAAGGTGCGCCAAGCATATCCGAATATCACATAATAAACCTCCATAAGACTCAAATCTCAATGAGCAAAGGTGAATCACAGGTCTCGAGTAGTCAGATAATCATGAATCAACTCCTAAAAATCAAATAAAAAAATCTAATAACTTTTTATTGATTTTCTACTTTTTTATCACAACAAAAAAATTGAAAAATTAAAAGAAAGTCCTGAATTCTACATATTTTTTATTTTCGTTTTATCACTAAATTTTATTAAGAAAGTTTAAAGAAATCTAAACTAAAAAAAACTAAAACAATTAGAAAGAGTTAGGGGGGTTAATGTGAAAATCAGGGGTTTGCAGCAGTAAATGGAGGCACTAAGGCCCATCAGGTTGAATTCAGTAAGCTGTTTTTGTTCAATACCACCAAGGCTCCAAAAACATGGATTATGAGCCTAGAGGGGTTTGATGAGCAAAAACATAGGCGCAAGGTCCAGACAATGATACACATGCATTGTTGTTTTTGTTCAAGGCAACCAAGTGCGTCAAAAAAAGATTTGTTAAGGGCCTAATGCAATTCGGTCCAGGCCCCTTTTCTTGATCCAACAACCAAACAATTCCATTTCAGCCTAAGTGACAAGAACGGTGCATTTTGGGGCAAGGCTAGGGTTCAAATTATTGAGACTCTTCAACTTCTTCGTGAAAAATCTCTTCTCCCTCGCTTCTCCCTCAACCGCGGCGACTCAACCTTTATCACGATCTCTCTATTTTCCTTACTCCGCTGCCGTCTCTCACTAAATTTGTATAAGCTCAGGTATGCGTTACGATTTCGTCAATTCTTCTCTGATTCCATTTCTGTTACGCTTACTGCTAAAGCATTCGTTGTTGTTGTCGATCTTGTGAGGTTGTTGTAGAAATGATGCAATGGTGATGTGAGACTGAGAGAAATTAGAGCCTTGCTGCAATGTTATTTTTTGCGGTTTGAGATGATGAGAATGAAATATGAAATCGTGGCTTGGAGATACAAAGCTGAGAGATGATGATGATTGCAAAGATTTGGAGGGTTACCGAGAAAGAGTAGAGAGAGATTAGAAGCTTTTTTGCAGTGATTTTCTTGGTGAGATATTGAAGGTAGGAAGTGAAGGATGGTGCGATGATGTTTCAGAGAGAAGAATGAAGCGAAGAAGATGAATGAGGGTGAATTCAGAAAAATGGTGAAGCATGAGAAAAATGATGGTTGAAGAGTTATGAAATGGTGAAGGTTCTGCTGAGAAGAAGCAGAGAGTTTTTTCTATGAGTGTTTTGGAAAATGAAGATGGAGAGTGAATATTGGGAGAGGAAGAAGAGAGAGTTTTTGTGATTGATTGAAGAATGAAGATGAAGATGAGAGAAGGAGGAAGACTTTTTCTGAGAGTTTTTGTGTGATTTTTCTACAGAAGTGAAGAATCCCTTGGAATCTGGTGAGTTTTCGATTTTATATTCTGTTAGATTGGTCATTCTCAACCTTTATATCTGGAATTTTGTTATATCCTTTAATGGTGAGATTGGAAGTGTCAGAAGTTAGTTATAGGGCTTGAGATGTTAGTTAAACTCTGTTGGAAAGTTAGTTATGGAAGTTATGATGAGCTGGCAAATTGTTAGAAGTTAGTTTTCAGACTTTATGAATTTCTTAATGCTTTTTCTTTATTGGTTATTTTCTTCTTCCTTTGAACTGATTCTCTCTTACTTCTTATTTTTGTTATCTTGTATTTTCTAGTTTTTTCACCTTGAACAGGGGGCTACAGTTTTGATAACAGGCCACTGGTTTCTACACTGATAATGCAGGACAATTTGGATATGATAATTGGTTTTAGTTTTCTGTTATTTTTCAATTTCTTGATATACTGACACTGGATTTATATATGGTGAATTTTCTGGTTATACAGGTTTAGAAATTGGTTGTAAAACTCAGGCTATTGACTCAGTTGGTGGTTTAACTGAAGCTAGCACGGTTTGCCAATTGTTTCACTTGTATAGTGAGTTGTTTATTATGATGCGCATAATTGTAAAGGTGCACTTCGGGTAATCCAGGACAAGTGCCACAAAGTTTTGTCTGATTGAGTAGGTAATCCTGCAAAAACTTTCCAAGTGGGATGTCAAAATTCTTGTAGAACATAATATGGTAAAAATGACTTTACTGGCATAAAGTTCCTCTTGAGGCATTACGGCTAGACGTCAAGACCAAAATACTCTGAGAATCCAACACTGCATTGATACCATCTTTACTTTGGAGTTCTTTTCTATCACTATCAACTTTACTTATATCACCATTGGCATCTAAGTGCAATGGTAACGATGGGGATTGTCCACCGCTAAGTAAACTTACTATATTGGAATCATTATTTTCTTCAATCCTTGTATTTTCATATGCCTCAGGAAACTCTTCAATAGAAACAGAAGTGGTAACTAGGCCATCGGGTTTCCTTTCATTGAAGCTAAGGTAAGCTGATAAAGACTTGTAAGAAGCAGCGGATGCAGAGTTTGGTGAAAGCATGGAGTTGTGGCCTTAAGAATTTAGAGCTTTAGGCTTAAAAACATAGAATAAAATGCCTTTTAATTTTTTCTTTATGTATGCTTCAAGCATGTAATGGCACTATTGTACCCCAATTCCCCCCCCCCCCCCCCCCCCCCCCCCCCCCCCCCCCCCAAGATTCCTCTATCATTTCATATCAATTTAATCATATCAAGATCACACTAGAGTTTGGTTCTTCTCCCCATCTTTAGGTTTGCCCAAGAGGAATCATCAAGAAATTTTAATTGTATATTGTGATCATATATGTTTTATATTGATTAACATTTTAACTAATAAATACAATGAATGTTTTCTCTAATTGATGATCTTATAGGTGAGGGCACAACACATTTCATCAGGTTGATTCATATGTTCATGAGTTTATTTCCATGCCTTCTTTAATAAAGCTTCATTGATATTCAAGCTTCATAATTGAGAGTGATTTAAATTAATATCATGACAAGGTCTACTATGATTCATCATCCCTCAATTTGTCAAAGAAAGTCAAAAGGTTCAAGGATTGATTGAAAAAGTTTGACCTAATTAGACAAGTTCTTGATTTCTGGATCACAAGTGCATAACTCTCTCAATTATTAATATTTGGAAGGGTTTTTTGGTTCTATGAGTTCTTATTATCACCCACAATAACTCTACTCACATGGCAAAAGTGATTGTGCAAGAAAGGTTGTTAAAATTGAAAAGGGTTTCCAAGTTATTTTGGTGCTTTTGGGTGATTCCAAATATATTCTTTTCTTTAAATGGTTATCAATAAATTACTTCAAAGGTTTCAAGAAAATTTTGTGTGGAAGATTCCTAATGATTGAGAAAGATTACAAGTCCTCTAGATAGGCCATCAAATTTGCTTACGTGAGTTCAAAAGATCATAACTTGGTCAATTTTTATCTTCTTGAGCCCATTATTTTTTCATAATGATCTTAAGGATGTGAACTCCAACTCTTCTTTTATGTGCAAGACTTGAAAATGGTTGGAACATGCCTCAAAAACTAAAAAGATTATAGGTCACCTCATGTATTTTCACCAATTTCAAAGGATCATAACTTGTTCAATATTTGGAATTTTTGAGTGATTCAAGTTTCACAATGATATTTGGGAAGTACACTTCAAGCTAGCATCATTGTTCAAGCAAGATTTTTGAAGAAGGCTTTGTTTGGAATCAAAATATTATAGGTCACTTTTGAAGAAAACTTAGAATTTTTCTAAGTACAAAAAGTCAGCATCTTTTTCTCAACTTTGACTCATCACAACTTTTAGTTCAAACATCCATTTGATCTCATTCTTGGCACATTGCAAATATTGTGACCTTATCTTTCAAATGCTTCAAGAATCATGCCCTAAGACCCTTTGAGCTTTGAACACCATGGATTCAAAAATGGTACCTTGAAACTGAAGTTTTCTCCAAAGTCAGAATTTGAAATTCATAACGTGGCTTCTAAACACCAAATTAGCACACATTTTTTATTTAAACATGTTTAACAAAGTTCCCAAAGTTAAATTAAGGATCAAAACACAAGAATTAACCGAGTTTTGATGCACATGGAGTCACACTTTTTTCACTTTTAAGCTCCATCCAATTCTCCTCCAAAATTCAAATTTCCTCTTAATTTTTTACACCATTCGCTTCCTTATAAATGGAGGACCTCACTCCTCTCATTTTCTCAAGTTTGAATAGCCAGAATCACCCTGCCAAACTCTCTCCCAAACCCACATTTCTACAACTTCGAATTTGATTTTACAGCCTTCTTCAATCCATTTGCTTTATTAATTCTTTATCCTTGAACTTCACTAAAGCTTACAAAAGAAGAACCAGGCCTTGAAGCATCCTAAATCGTGCTATCCAAGTCAAGTTTCAGAGCACTGAATTTTAACATCAATAGGTATATTCCTTCATCAATTCTCTCAAATTTGTTACTACAATGAAGCTCTCCTCATTTTGATACTAGTCGCATCATTTCTTTTCATCTGGAAGTGAGTTTTAGCCATACATTTTCAAATACCTATTCAACTTTTTCCTTCTGTTTTTTTGCAAATCGACTGAGCTACACCATAAATAAATTTTTCGCAAGGGTACAGTTATCTTCATCTTGATGAGACGGAGCGAATGAGATAGACCCGAGCTCCTGATTTTACAGTATGAGAGACATGCAATTCGCGTGGCTGGAGGTTGAAGATGACCAACGTGTCATCTCTCAATCAATGACAAGGCGCCGCATGTTTTTTTCAAAATTTGATTTAATATTTGATCTAGTGGTTTATTCAATAATGATCATGATATGCACAACGCGCCAGATCCCTTGGATTTGATTACTAATACGTTTTGACATTGATCCAATGATCTACATCTTTTTGGTTTTATTTTTATTTTCTGATTTTTATATTTTAATTGATTTAAACTTCAAAAATTCATTAAAAATTCATTTCTGACTCAAAAAATCTGAAAAATTTCTTAAAAATATTTTGGACTTTTCTCTTTCTAATTCTTATCTTTTCCCAATTTTATTTCATGATTTGATATTTTATATTTTTTCACTTTAATTATCTTATTTTAATTGATTAAAAATATTTTTCTTAATTATTAAATTCTAAAAAAATTATGGAAAGGTCCTTTGGCCTTTTGGAAATTTTTGATAACCTCATTATATTTTTATTTCTAATTTTACTATTTTTTACAAATCTTGGTTTATTTTGCTTATTTTCTTCATTTTTTAAAATAAGTTTATGACTTTAAAAAATTCAAAATTTTTTTGCCAACACTTATTAAATCATGTTTGACCTCTGACTATTTTTTGGGAATTTTATTTGGTGTTTTAATATACTTTGTGTATTTTATCAATTATTCTCCTTTTATTAACCATTTTAATTTTGTTTTATTAGATATTATTTTTATTAGTTTTTTTATTTTGGTTGTGACTTAGACTTTATTTGGTGACAAATTCTTCAACCTCATTGGATCTTGGGTGTTGATAGGTTGAGAAACCAAATTCACCATAATGGATGAATGATGTTGAGGATATTTGACACCCTAATTTCATATATTGTATCCCCTCCCTCTTCATCTAACCCCTTTCCCATTTGTGCTACATGTTATTAAAGGATGATCTACATATCATCTCTCCAAACATATGGCACATAGATTGCTATTGACCGACCTTAAAATAGGTGCGACTTCTATATAAGTCCACTTACGATTGCTTAACATAACATTAATTTTTGTCCCGATTCGAGAAATTATTATTTGTGGCCCAAACCTATATTTGCAAGCCTAAATATGTTTAATTTGAAACCTTTGATCCAATAACTTTGAGGTTCATATGTTTAATCCTCTAATGAACCTTCACAAATTTTGGACTAAGTGATTTATTTAAACCTCGTTGATCATTTGTTATTGCCTCGAGATTTTGAAATGAATGATATACTTGACAAAAAGCAAATGAAGCTTGTTGTTGAGAGGCTTTGATTCTATCAATCTTCTAATGAGTTTTCAAATGCAAGATTCAAGATGGTCATTCAACTAACCTCTAATTTCTAACTCATTAACAATTGATATTTATTTTTATGCTTTTACTTTATGTCTTTACTTCACACACCATTTGTTTTAGTATTTACATTTCATGCTATTTTCATCTTTTCTCACTTGAGAATTTATCTTTATGTCATTTTTATTTTGCTCACTTGATCTTTTTATTTTCTTTTTGAAGATACCTAATAATCAACTTGAACAATAAAAAACTTTAATGTTACTTCGACTATTTGGTTACTATCCTTGGCATGATGGAGTTATGGACTTCTTGGACTTAAGAGTAGAGACCTTGACCTACCTTGAGACCTTGTGACTTCTATTGCTATTTTTTCTGGAGTTCTTGGGGTTTACCCCAAGACATTGGGTTGTTTGTTTTCTTTTTGTGCATGTTATTCTGATTATATGCTTTGATTGGGAGTTCATCTGTATACAGCTGTTACTCTGCCCAATTTCTGTGAAGACTTAATGAATTTGAAGCTTGGTTTTCTTAATAGGTTTAGTATCTTTGCTTGCTTGGTTTCAATATAAAGGATGAGAATTACTCATTGACTCATTACGTCAAGTGTTGGCTTCTTGTTGGTTAGACGGTTCATTTCCCTAGCTTTTATCTTATGCTTTAGGATAGTCCCTTCACCTTCTCCAACCTTCTTTAATTTCAAAAATCTTCTCCCTCCTTTTCAAAACTATTCTTGTTTTCTAAACTTGAACTTTTTTCACAATAAACTTGGACTTAGGTCCATGCATTTTCAAAATATTTTCTTAATCAAACTTTAAACAACTTAATAATACTTTCACATTTTTCTGAGAAGGCTAAAAGTCAATCAATCTCATTCAAATCATTTTTACATTTTAGCTTTTTACTTTAAAACTTTTCTCAAAAATATTAGACTCTTGTCAATCCTTGTAGTGATGCATACTACTATACTTCTATAATATGTAGTGAAGTGATATATTTTCCACTTGGGTGTTGCGCGAGACTTTGTTGATTTTAAAATCCAACCATATCATCCACTTTGAGATGACACAAATTCTCCTTTCTCATAATCGTGGGTAGTAAGTATGTTTTACACTCGGATACGACGATGATGTCTTGTCTCTTAAAATTAACCAACACACTTGTGTTTAAAATTTTTAAAGGTGAACTACGAGTACCCTTATCCCGTATTGCACAGAAGGTGGTACGAGGCACTAAAGGTTCGCAACCGCGGAGAGTGCAAAAATTATAAAAAAATATTACTATTCTCATCTCCACAATCTATTTTTGTATGCAACAATTTTAGCCAAAATACACAAATTTTCAAAGAGGTTCCTGCGGAGTACCGTAGATGTTTAGGGTGATAATACTTTCCCTTTGCACAACCAACCCCCTAACTTAGATTCTCTCCCCCTCTTTTTGGGTTATTCGCTCTTTTCCCATTATTTTGGAAACAATAAAGCGCGGTGG